AGGGGGCTCCAGAGCTGCAGCTGGGGATCACCAGCCACTCACTACCCAGGCACTGGTTTCCCCAGGCTGTGCTACCCCTTGTCATTCCCCCAGCAAATCCCAGCTTCCTTCTGTCCTGGCAGCTGCTGCCAGCAGCTGAGCTGCAGCCACATCCCCCCAGGGCACTCACAATCCCAGGGCAGCTCCTCAAGCCTCGGTGGAGCTGCAGGAGCAGAGGTGTGTGGTAAGGTCTCCAATGACTAAGACTTCATTAGTTTTTACAAAGTATACTGCAGAATATTTATCCATGCATTATGATGAATTAGCATCAATAATTAAAGCAGAACTCATATTGGCACACACATAAGCAAAGAGCACTTGCTAATGGACCAGGCTGGCTCTGCTGCTCTAGGGACTCACTCAGATACAAGTCCATGCCAAAAAAGCCAAGAAAGGATTCATAGTTATTCCTCTTTTTACCCCAAACCTTCTCCCATCTCCCTCCAGATGGCTCACAGAGCCTGGGGGGTGAGCACATCTTATGGAGCATCTCCTGAAGGGTGAAGAGGAAAATAATGGAAAGGCTGCAGACCTTCACCCTGTTCCCCAGTCCCATGACACTCTTTCCTGCAAACAGCCCACCTACAATCAGTCAGGCAAGAGGTGCTTCCCAGAAATGCTGATTTGAGAGATCTCATGACTCTGCCTCCTCTTCTTATTCCAGGTATGAAGCAGAACTGAGAGAAGATTGCATGGCAAACAGAGAAGGGCTCTCTAATGTTCCCCATGGCTTCCCCCTCACCTCAGCAAGTACATCGTGGTGATCTACACCAGCAGAGTGCAGGTGATATTGCACACTTCCCCAAAAAGGAATATCTAACCCCAAACCTTTATCTAGTCTGTTTTTCTGTGAAAGTAAAGGCTGTAGTTGTCTCAGAAGATGATATGAAAATGAGAATATCTCCTAGTTACCTCTCCTTCATCCTCTCTTTAAGTCAGGTTAAAAATTTTCCACAAATTGCAATTCCAAACAATCTGTATTATGTTACCTTTCTGTACTCTGTCCTTTATTCACCAAATATTTTGTGCTTACAGCTAAAAACAACACTGGAAAAATAAAAATCTTACTTGTTTCAATTTTTCATTCTACTCATTAATGCTTCTGTGCATAAATAAAGCATTTGGATGGTTTGTGGAGGTGGACAGGTCTTGAGTCTGTCTCCCTGGCCACAGCACTCATCCCACGAGGCACAACTGCAAGGGTTTCCTACAAAATATTGCACTGCCTAACACAAAGAAAATTACAGAACATCATGGGAACATCAGCTGTACCTACAGTGACATGAGCTCAGAAAAGAACAGGGATAGGCTGTAGCCTGACCTGCAACCCCCAAGAGACATTTACAACTGGAATATCTCAAAAATATCTCAAAATATCAGGTTATTTTATCTTATTTTACTTTATACTGAAAACGTTCAGCTAGGGTTTAGCTTTACAGACATGACATTTTTCATGGGGAAAAACATTTTTTCTTACCAAGTAGGACCACTAGGACATTGTAATATTGCCAAGAACACCATGAACCCTGGTGACCCAGCAAAGGGGAGCATCATGAGTGACAGATAAATCTTTTGTCTAGTAGAGCTACTAGAGAGCACATGTTTTCAGATGGTGAAGGAAACAGAGCTGGCTTCTTTATGGACCAAATCCCCAAGGATGGGCTTGGATAAATTCACTTGTGCAGAACAAAGAAGAAGGAAGTATCACAAGTTAAGTATCTCACAACACTTTCTCTTAATTACTGCCAGTGAAAGCTGAATGCTAAAATTTCCATCAGGAATTGCTCCCTTTTTCAGCTGCACCTCTGTCCCTAGGGCTTGGCCTGATCCCATTTATGAGCTCTCCTTGAATGACTTCCTCAGACTGAATCATTCCAGAGCACCCAATTCCAACCAAAGCCTCCTTTATGTGCACATTCCAGCAGTGAGATCCACACAGGATCCTCCTTTATGTGCACATTCCAGCAGTGAGATCCACACAGGATCCTCCTTTATGTGCACATTCCAGCAGTGAGATCCACACAGGATCCTCCTTTATGTGCACGTTCCAGCAGTGAGACCCACACAGGATCCTGACCCCTCTGCAGCCATATGTGCATCTCTGCACGAGTTAATGAGATCTCATCTCTTCCACTCTTTCAAAAGTTGTGGCATGCAAAGTTTTTACCAAGAGCTTGTCAAAGGCCCTTCCTGCCCCTCACACAACACTCTCAGCATGGATGGAAAAGTTGCAACCCTCTTGCATCAGCAGCTACCTGCCTCCCAGACCCTGGGATATACACAATATTGGAGTGCTTTGCATCATCTCTTTGTTAAACACCTCTGAATGCTTGGATCTATAAGGAATTCCTCATATCCAGCCATCCTCAAATCCCTTTTGGCCCTCAGCTGTTTATTCTCTAGTTATTTGTATTTGACAGCAACAATCTTACTGGTTCATTTTGGGTGCATGGCACTTACTGCAAAGTTACTCAGATGAGACAAATCATAATATGCCATTAAGATAACATAAATGGACTGTCCTTGAAAATTAAAACAAGATCAAATTTATAGATTTTATGGGAAGACTGGCAATCTCTCATCTTCCCAAGGAAAAGTGTAAACTGTTCTAGTGTGAAAAGAAGCACGGGGAGACTGTTGGGATGGAACTACACTGTGTCACAGCAGCACCTCCAAACGAGAGAGACTCCTTTAAAGAAGGAAAAAAGGTTAAAAGACAATTCATTTGAAGGCAAGAATAAAGACTTTGGGTATCAAGTGAGATGCTGCTTCCCCACAGCTCCTGCTCTCAAGCAGGTCTTCCTCCTCCAGAGGCAGGAACAAGCTCTGTCAGCCAGATCCCAGCACACTCTTCCATCACTCTCAGCAGATTCCTTTTGTAGGGTTGGATCCTACAGTGAGGTAAGACCCCACAGCTTCATCTGAGTTCAGAGGGGGCTGAGACTGAACAGAAACTCAGTGGGGCCAGCTTGGAGAGCAAGATCCTCTGGATGTCCTGGGGAGGGATGAAGTGTTTATGCTGGGCTGACAGACTTGTGTGTTTTACTTCCTTTAAGGAGAAGGACTCCAAGAAGTGTTTTGTTTTGTTTCATTTTCATTAATATTGAATTTGGCACTGATGGTTTTCACAAGATTCTTACTGACTTTTGTGAGTCAGACTGACATTTCAGTTTTGCAGGACTGAGTAGTCATCAAAGAGAAGTTGACCACACAGTGTCAGGTCCACTCCTAAGAAGAATCAAACCTTACAAACGTCATGATTTTTTTCCCATTCTGTGATCCACATTGCATAAGTATCTTAAGGTCAACCACACATCTAGAGAGTTATCTAAAATGAATGCTTTAACTTGGAAATTCTTATACCACTGCAAATATTGTCAATTATTTTATTCAATTCAATGAATTCAGTATTCAATTATAGTATTGTCAATTGTCTGAATCTCTCAGCTCACCTGAGCTTCTCCAGACACATCCACTGTCCTATTGCTTACATCCAGACATGAGCCTGCACACAGACCTGACCCAGCTGTCACAGAGGGGTGCAAACTGCTTGGAATGCTCTGCTGTGTGCTAAAGCCTCACTGAGGTGTGAGAGCTGGCCAAGGCAGGATGAAAGGGGTGCCCTCTGTCCCCAGCAGCATTAGGCAATACTGAACAGAACTTAACAGCAGCCTCCAGACCTAAGAGCCTTCCCAGCAAAACACACTTCAAGTGCTGTCGCTCCCTGCTTGCTAGCACGAGTTTTCTATGGCAAAAAGAGGTGAAAGAACCAAAGAAGTGTCACAGCATCCAGTTTCCAGTTTCAGATTTTATGCTGGAAAACAGGACCTGAGTCCCAAGATATACTTGATGAATAAACATTGAAAAGAGGGGAGCAGCAGTGAATGAGTGGTACACAGCAGCACTCTAGTAGTGATGGTTGCCTTTTAACTCTCGCTCAGGACTAAAACACTGTGAACATAATAAAAATGTGCCTGGAAGGTAAAATCACAGCCCGACACTCAAGTTGTTTATTTGCAGGTGCAAGGACTATGCCAATGATCAGTACTTCCTGAGATCCAGGCTCACAACCCATGCAGCCTAGAGAGCTTTGTTTGTCTTTGGCAAATAAGCCAATTTCAAAAATCACTGCTTAAATCCTCTGTCACATAGAGCTCTGCACACCTTATAGAGCCAAAGAAAAACACTACCACCGTGATCACTGATAAACCCCTGGGTTTTCAAACACATTCCCAACACTAAAACAAACATTTATTTTAATATGACTCTGCCAACTCCATTCTGTGATCTTGACAGAATGATCTTTTTGATATTCTTTATGACAACTTAAGGCAACAGAATTTTTAGGAATGCAAACTAGTTGTCATTCTCTTGACTTGTCACCTATGGGCCATAAAACGAGTTTATTTCCTCTCGGTTCACTTGTGGTCAGTGTAACTTTCTGGTTGACAGCGCTGCAATGCTCGGGTTTCATGCACTGCGGGGTGATGCTTATCGGACCGAAACCCGATGGTTTTCATTTGACGCTTTTAGCTACGGAAGGGATCGGTTCACCCGCGGTCTGCAACAGCGAGCTGAACCTCACGCTCCAGGCTGAGCTGAACTGGCCGCGTTCCCCTGAAGCACTTCGAGCCTTAAAACCGCCCGGAGCTTGGTTTTTCTGGCATCCCTCCTGCAGTGCCTCAGACACACAGGCTCGGGAATGCCACTCCAAGGCAACGTGGAGGTACGGGCAAGACAGAAACACAGAGTTAAGAGCAGCTGCTCCTTTTGGAAAACCCGACGACTTAAGAGAAATAAAGCCGCTGAGCAGCACACCCCGCACCAGACCCTTGCTCCAGGCACAGCCGGCCCCCGGAGCGCCTCACCCCGAGGATGATAAAGCAAAACGATGCTGATAAACCCCCCGGGGCAGCCCCGGCCGCGCCCCCGGAGCCCCGCTCCGCGCCCCGCGTACTCACACGAAGGCGTGATAGAGCAGCGCCCAGCCGCGGGGTCGTTCCAGGGCGTCGTAGATCAAAGTTTGGATGCGGCGGTACCTGGCGTGGTTCCGCTTCACCGGGCGGCTCAGGGGGGTCTTCGCCAGCAGTCCCAGTCCCGGCGGGCTCCGCTTGCCGCCCTCCTCCTTCCCGCCGCCCTCCAGCAGCAGCGTCCCGTCGCGGTCGCCGCCGGTGCCCAGGGCCAGCGAGCCCTGCTCGGGGTCGCCGCCGGCCGCCGCTCGCCGCCCCGCCGCCGCCGCCGCCCCGCCGGCCGCGCTACCGCCCGCCGCGCCGCGCCGCGCCTTCAGCCCCATGGTCGCCGGCGGGCCCCGGAGGCGAGCTGCAGATCGGCGGCGACAGCCCCGGGAGCCCCAGGGCCATGATCCGAGCTCCCCGTCCCTCCCCCCAAAATGACTTCTCTATATATTTATATATATATATTCATCTGTGAGTGTATGTGTGTATATATATATATATACATATATATATATATATCTGGAGGGAGGGGGTAGGAAGCGGTGGGCAGGGGAGGCGGTCACATCCCCGTCAGGTCACCCCCGCCGGCGGGCAGCGGGCGGGCAGGAGCGCGGAGCGCACCTGGGCCGGCGCGAGGGAGGGGAATCATCGCGGAGTTTATTTACCAGCCCGATGCCCGAGCCCCTTCTTCTCCCCCCCCCCCCACCCCGCCTCCTCTTCCTCCTCCTCCTCCTCCTCCCAGCTCCTGCCTCCCCCCAGCCCTCACGTTAGGGAGTGGCCCATTGTATGCAGCCAGCAAATAGTCGGGCGCCCGCCCCCCGCTCCCCCAGCCCTGGCTGTCGAGTCATCCGCGGTGTGGGGGACACCGGCACCGGCCCCCCGGCCACGGCACTGCCCCCCTTTGTCCCCCACCCCCCGGGTGCAACCCCCAGCAGCCGCCGCCGGGGCCGCCGGCGCCGAGCGGGGAGATCCCGGCAGCCGGCGGAAGGGGAGACCCCGCTCGGCTCCCGGGGATCCCCCTGCAGCATCACAGCCCCCCTCCCCCGCTGCGGCTGGAGGGAGGGAGAGGAGGGGAGGGCATTCCCGGCCCCCGGCGGGGGGCTCCTTCCACCGCCGAAGCAGGAAGGAGCGGAGGATGGGGATGAGGGATGCCGGGAGAGGCGGCGAGTGGGCGGCTGGAGGCGCTGGCGGCCGCTGCGGATCGCTGCGAGCCGAGCCGGAGCCTCCGCCCGCGGACCGGGCTGGGGCAGCCCCGCCGGGCAGCGCCTTTGGGTCTGTCGCGGAGATGCTGCTCCCGTCCCCTCCCAGGAGGCTCCTGCCGGGAGCGGCGCCGGTCCCAGCCCAGCTGAGACCCGGGGTCCGCCCCGACTCTGCGACCCAGGAGCTCCCCTCGCTCCTCTTTGCCGTGTGAACCGCACCCCGGTCCATCTTCGGACCTAAAACCTGACGGGATGTGATCAACAGCCGCGGACCCTTTTCCTTTCCGTTTCTAGGCTGTAAGGAAGAAGGGAAGAGACAAGCTGTTGTGTGCCTTACACCTTTGGTGCCCTCGGATTTCTTCCACAGCGCGCTAGAAACATCCCCTCTGAGCGCTGCTGTCGTGTGAAAACCTGCCTTCAGGGCTGGGCGTTCGCATTGCTACACCTTGCGAGGATAAAAGGGGTATAAAATAAAATAAAATGCAATAAAATTAAATAAATGGTAAAATAAAATGGACTATAAAATGATATATAAAATAAAAAATAAAATAAAATTTAAAAATAAAATTAAATTTAAAATTAAAATAAAATAAAATATAAAATAAAATGCAAAGCCTTACAGGTTGCTGGTGGTTTTCATGGGAGGTTCTCCTCCTCCAGATGGGGGAGTTTTCCTGGTATCTCCTGAAGAGATGCCAAAACACCCAAGAGCCCTTCCAGACTCAGAAGCAGATTTGCCACCTATTTTATCTGCTCCTGTTCCATTCCTGAGGGATTTATGATCTGAGCAGTCCTTCCCCTGTTTCACACACCAGGAAGGACAGCAGATGCAAAGGGAGCTGCTGGAGGTTGTTTCTGGACCCAGCACAGGCCATAGTAATTTGGACCAGACAATCCCAGGCCACTCAAAAACCACACTTTTTTCATTGCAGAGCTGGGTGGAAGAAAGGCTGTTTTCCCTCCCATATTTCACCCTCTGAGGGTGTAAATTGAGCAAATTCTGTGCCAAAGAAGACAAAAAACACTTCCTTCAGCTCTGCAAGCTCCAGCATTAATGTGTCTCAGCCACCATCTGATTTTGAACCTTTGCAACCCCAGGGATTTGTCTAGAAGCTGTTGAGTGCTATCTCATGCAATGCCTCCAGTGTCAGCAGCCAGGGTCGGGATGCTGAGCTCTCCTGGCATTATCAGCAGGAAGGAGCTGGCCCGGGCGCAGCACACGTTCTGCTGCCTGCTCAGCTAACATCTATCAGCATCATTTGAATGTCATTTATAGCTGAATTCCCAAGGAGGGCTGTGGGAGGCTAGGAAGTTTTGATAACTAGGCCATTTATCTCTCTCCAGCTCCTGTTCTACCTCAGTACAATAGCGATTACACTTCCCAATGCCACAGGGGAGCCATAAGCATTAGCGAGGATGTATGGGGCACTGAGAATGAGCACTTGCTGCAGATAACACCCTATGCCTTAACCTTCATCCCAGTGCTACATTAGGAAGAGGTGGGAGGAGAAGGGGAGAGGAAAGACAATTTATAGCTAAGCAATTCATCACAGCTTTGAACCACAACAGTAATGTTCAAACCGAAATGGGGATGGTAAATAATTTTCATGGGGGGGAGGCAGTAAATTATTTTCACTTGCAAAGGGTTGCACCAATGTCAGATAGCAATAGGTGATTGATAGGAAGGCACACCAGCTTGTTTGGCTTTTATAACACTTACACCAGAGACACAACACTTTTCAATATCAGTTACATGTAGGGGTTTTTCAGTGGCAGGCTTCTGAGACATTTTCAAGCCTCAAATCACGCCCATACAAGCCACCACTTGAGACCCAACAGGAAAGAGCTTCCATCGCCTCTCTAAAATTAAAATCCCACAGCTCAGTGTCAGGAATTCTCCTCCTCCATATTCCATCTGGGATAACTGCTGCGCAGATGTAGCTGTACTGGCTGAGCAGTGTAAAGCAAGGGAGGTTGGCTAAAGTCTTCTGAATTAATCCAAAGACACACAACAGTTTCAAGGGGATCTGAATCAGCCCCCAGCAGTGGTTTCACACCACCCCATTGATGGTACCACTGCTGGGGACCACATTCCTACTGCACACCTGCTGGCAAAGCTCCCGTTGATGTTGGAGGGAGTTTGGCCAGAGGGAGGGCTCAGGGCTGTGATTTGGCTTAATGAGCAATTACACTCCATTACTGTTATTTATGAAGTGTTCCTGGCAGCACCCAACGTGCTCAGGTTTGATATCCACCTCCTTGGCTGACACTGGAGATGTCTGTAATCAAAAGCAAGTGCTTCTGCCGAGCTGGAGCTGGCAGCCAGGAGGCTCTAACAGGCTCTGATGGGAATGTGCAGAGGGACTCCAGATAAGCATCTCCCAGCACGTTATGCTGGCCCCCATCAAACAGAAAACTGGTTCACTCAAAGAGGTTATAGCCTAAAATTAGAGGAAAACAGGATTGTATCTGTTGGTCAAGATAATATGGCTTCATCTTGGCTTTTTCATAGGTCATCTGGATTCTTGTGAATGACAAACACAGGAGTGCTTGGTAAGCATCACATTAACACACAGAGTGTATTCTGGTAGAGCCACATAAACACTCAGCTGGACCATGTAGAAGGAAAGTGCAAGTGGAAAATCAGTTACTGTGCAAAAGACTTTAGGAATAAAACAGACAAACACCTGCTCATGAGCTGCAGTGTCAGAGGAATAGAGATCTGTTAATTTAGGCATGCTTTGAGAAAGGTGAAGAGCAGAACCACGGGGATCATTTCCTGGGATAAGAGATTTGAAGCTTGAGGATCTCTTGACTCAGGAGTCTTGTATATGGAGCAAGACCCAGTGCATGGAGGGTGAAGCTGTATAACCATAGAAGAATGTGGGATCTCAGTTCCAGTGTAAGCACTGATGTTGAATTTTATTGCCCTTGTCTATCCTTCTTCTGGCTCCTCTATCTTATCAAGCAAAATTTTTGCAGTGCTTCAGAGCTTCTAGTTTCTCATTTAGGGTGACAAGAACTAATCACATTTTTAGCTGTCTCTAACACCAGCTTACACTCAACCTTTGGTGTAAGCTCCTTCAAGCACCCTCGTGCTCCTTCCTTGGAAGCTCCAAAAGCTTTAAGGAGGACTCCATTCACACTCAAACCTACCTTGCTTTTAACCATTTTGTTAAAACTCACTACTTGGATGCCGACAAAATCTACCAGTGTGACTGAGCATGGTCTGGAAGCTCCTCCTGAAGAATGCCAAATGAGACACTGCAAGTACAGCCCTGAGAGCCCAGATGATTTAGGCAGCAGGAGCAGCCTGGCTTTTAAAGAGACCCAAAGCCCCATGGGGGCTGATTTGGGGGGTTGCTCACCCAGACACAGGCTGTGCTGTCTCAGCTGCATTGTTCAAACACCCAGCCTGAATCTTGTCCTGTGACTTCTGTGTTCAGCAACATTTTCTCTCCCCTCTTCGTGCATCCACATCCCCCTTCCTTACAGCTACATGTCAAATTTTTTTAAGAGTTTGTTTCTTAAGGATTAGCATTGAAGGAATCTAAGATGTGGCTTAAACCAACAAAGAGTGTAGCCCAAAAAGAACAACTGAATAAAGAAGACAGAATAAACTAGCCAAGCATGAAGCACTCTTGGACTTGGTCTTAAGTCAGAGTTGCAGGTTTGATCTTTATTTTTAAAAGCTATAGCTTAGTTTAACTTGAAGCTATGTTCTGTGATCAGCAGGTGGTCAAACTGATAAAAATGTCTCGCTGGCATCCAGATCATTGCATGAGCTGCATGAAACCAGGTCAGGCACACAACAGTCATGCTGGGGAGACTGAGATCAGTGTCTGATCCTAAATTTGGTGGTGGAAGAGGGGTTGAGATGTACATGAAATCTCAAAGCTCTGCAGAAAAATAAAATGTTGTTCTGACAGGCAGCTTTTCCTTCCCCAGACTGCAGATGAACCTAATGAAAAGTAGCTGCTGCTCCAAGCTGTTTTCTGTGCAGTGGAAGCCAGAGCCTATATTAGCTGTATGTTCAGAATCAAAATAACTCTAGGGCTGATGCTGCTGGTCCCAAAGTGGATAAAATTCATTAAAAGAAAAAAGAACAACGAACAAAATAAAACAGCAACTCTAAAATA